GACACCTGGCCTTTCCCATTGCCCTCACCCTGGCCCAACTGCCTTGCTCTTCTCTGCCCTGCACACTGTCATCTCACGCTCCTTAACTACTTGCTGTTCCCCAGCTGTGAAATCTTTTTGCACGTGCCGGTCACTCTGCCCTGGACACACTCCCCCACCCTGCTGCCTTGTCTGCTCTCCTATAGGCTCCCCAGCAGCTCCTGCCTTCTCTGGGAAACCTCCCTGGGCTGCTGCCGCACTCAGTTCCCTGGCAGCAACACTGTGTTGTTGTGATCTGTGGTACCGTCAGTTTCTCCGGCTCCCGAGAGAAGGCTCCGTAACACCACCATCCCTTCCTTGTCCAACATGAGCCAGATCCATAGCAGGTGCTCCTTAAGTGTTTGCCGCCACAATGTCTTTCTCCAGACCCCCCAAGTCAAGGCCTTCCCCCCACTTTCCGCGAAGATGGCGCTGATGGTGTAGGAGGAAGCTGAAGCCAAGCAAAGCCTTTGAAGGCCAAGAAGGCGTCCGTAGACGCACATGAAAGATCGGCGTGTGGAGGCCCAAGATGCTCCGCCTCCCTCTGGTGGCAGCGGCTCGAGCCCCGAGCTGTCATCAAGCTCCCTGTGACCACCCAGTTGGCCACGAAGAAGGCAGAAGTCAACAAGACGCTTGTGTTCTCTGTGGACGTCCAGGCCAACAAGCCCCTGGCTATAAAGGAGCTGTGTGACCCTGATGCGGCCACGGTCTAGACCTTGACCAAGCCTGGCCGAGAGAAGAAGGTGCATGTTCTACTGGCTCCTGATTCTGATGGCTTGGATGTAGCCAACAAAACTGGGATCATCTCAACTGAGTCCGGCTGGCTAATTCTAAATACATGTGTTTTTTTTGTTTGTTTTTTTTTTTTTTTCACCATAAAAAAACAAATAAATAAAGGCCCCTCCTTCCCATGATGCATGCTGGGCTGCTTCTGCCCACGGTTCCCAGTCATGCCATGCTTTTCTTGCCTCGGTGCCTCAGCACGTGTGGGTCCCTCTATCAGCTACGCCCTTCCCCAACACTGCTGTTGCTGAAATCCCTGCTCATCCGCTGAGACCCGTCAGACCTGCCCGAGCCCTCCATGCTCGCCCTGCTCCCCCTCCTCACCCCTCCCTCGCCCTCCAGGGCTCACATCACATTACATTGTGATTCTGTGTTTCTGTGTCTGTCTTCCCTGCGAGGCTGTCACTGCACCGAGACAGGACTGGAATACAAATCAAACCCAAAAAGCTGAACAACAAATCAGCTGCATTGTCCCACAAGTGGAGAAAGATGACAGTAACACAGAATTCTCAAAATATATGCTACGGAACCACAGTTCCAAAAACGCTGCCTGCTGATCCATCTCCCGATGAATTTTGGGGTCAAATACATTTGGGAAATGATATGAATCTGTCTCCCTGGGAGAGATTCCCAGGACAGGCTCATTCCTTAGTTTGTCCCTTGCACATCCATCAAAGGAGTGTTTGCAGCGGTGCTGGGGCTAGAACAGAGCACCAGTTTGTAATCAGACACTTTGCTTCCTGTCTACACCTTTGAACTTTCCTGGTTCAAAAGGTCTTCACTCTCAGGAGGAATGGTCTCATCAGGTGAGGCCAGGATCCCACTGGCGTGGAAGCAGAAAGGGCTAGCTGGTTACTTTGGTCCCTTCTACCCCTGCAATAACCAGCGAGGGAGGGCTATGCTGGGCTGCTGTGCCGGAGGGGACAGGCGACACTGTAGATTCTAGGGGGCTCTCCAGGCTACCCCTTAATACTTCTGTTGCTAACAGAAGACATAAATGAAAAACTAACCTTTGGTTTGGACTTGCTTGGCTAGTAAGAACTTCGCTGGGCTAGTAGGAACTGATACCCTTCAATGAGAAAGGTTTAGTTCACCCTGCCAGAGAAAAAAGCCAGACCAGTTGAGGGCAGGCTGAAGGTGAAGGGAGGCTGGACTGGATAAAGGCAGTGAGTGACACCTGTGAATGACAGCCTTCTGACCAGTTACAGAAAGAGACGGTAGAAGTGGTACAGTTTTCCTTCCTTGCTTGCACCTGTATGTCCGACTGTATCTGCAGCATCTGTCCCTTTTGGCCAATCCGGTTTATCTCCTCTTTCCCCTTATTATTTTGCAGAAGGATGGAAGGTGGTGGCTGTGGCCTAGAGAGTGCTGGGCAGGACCGTGGAGGGGAAACTATTACTCAGAGGTGGATATTGGTGCCTACTGGGCTGCATCTCCCCTTTTAGGGGAGAAAGCAAGAATGTCTTTAGATTGTGTGCAGGAGGGTTGCAGCTTGCAAGGTGCAAATAGCACACATTGTTACTTTCCTGTCTGGGGGTTCTACTGCCTGTGGATGGGGAGCTACAAAAGGGTTGGACGGGACCCATTGGAAGCTACTGACTTAGCCCCCCACTGACCCCCTTCTGTTTCCTGCTCAGTGGTGCAGGGACTGGGACCACCTGACCTCCATGTCTACCAGCTGGCACCCTGTTAAGCACTAAGAAGAAACATCTGGGTTCCCGTTTGTTTGTTTTTTTTTTTTTTCTACACTCCTAGAGTCAGCGTCAAGGCTTTCTGCAGAGGCTGCCCTGAGCAGCAGGCCCTCGCAAGGGTCTGGGGCCTTGCTCTGTGGGGCCCCTCCTCTGACATCCCAGACAGGCAACCCCCCATCAGGCAGTGACCTCTTGGGAGAGGTCTGGGCTGCTCCTTGGAGTCCCTGCAACCACCTTCTAGGTTCTCATCACCCCACTGACCTCAGTCTTTACAGTGTAGCTGCTTGCTACAGGTACTTGGTTACCCTGAAGTCTCTCTCTTGCCTTTTCAGCTCTACATTGAGCCAATTTCCTGATATTAAGTTCTTTGATTTTCTAAAGGACCCTGACTGTGACAGGCAGAGACGGGACCAACACAGCCTGTCTCACGTGGACCCCCAGGCACGTGGGAGAGACAATTAGTTACAGACAGGAATATTCAATTACAGATGAAATCAGTGTCCAGGGAGTGGACATTTAGCCCAGCAGTGAAGACGCTGTGACCTGCATTGGAGCGTCTTGCTCTGATTCCTGGTTCTGACTCCTGACTTTGGCTTCCCACTAATGCACACCCTGGGAGGCAGCAGGTGATGGAGCAAGTACATGGGTCCCTGATATTCATGTGGGAGACCTGGATTGCATTCCTGGCTCCTGGCAGCCCTGGCCATTGTGGACATTTGGGGAGTGAACTAGCAGATGGAAGTGCTCTCTCTCTCTCTAAGTTTTTAAAAACTTCAGCAAAAAGTGTCAAGGGCAAATATGAGGGGTATTTGCATAATACAGGCCCCACAAGGCCTTCAGTAAATAAACCTGTCCAGCATGGTATAAGGCCACACCCCCATTCCCTTAGTACAGGTGACCAGCAAACTACAAGGCGAGCCAGCAGAACCCCTTTTCTACAGAGCAGTGCTCTGTGTTGGTGGTAACAGGGGAGTGAGGCAGGAAATGAGAGCTTAGGACCTTGGCTTTGGCCGAATTCCTCCAGGAGCCCACAGTGCTTGGGGCATCCTCAGCGCCAGGACCCCAGCCACAGGAGCAGCTGACAATTCCCTCTGCTCTTAGGTCAGCCACAAGAGGCAATTTTCTGATAGCCATTGACTTAGCAAGTAAATTCCCCGGCAGGGAGAGAGGGCGCTCTCGTCAGCCCGCACAGCCCTGCTGTTCCTGCCTGGCGGCTGCTTTCTCATGATGCACTTGAGTCGTTACAGGAGCCATCAGTGCCTTAAGACCATATGCAAAGTGTATGTCTGCGTGAGTGTGTGTGTACGCATGCGTGCACGTGCGGGCATTTCTCTGGGAAGAGGGTGCAAAGCTTTTGTGATTCCTGGTGGGACTCTGATTCCAGAAAAGGGATAGGTTGGACTTTACGAGTGTTAAAGGAAAATGCTGGAGACCTGCATTCTGGTGCAGCAGGTTAAGCCGCTGCCTGCGATGCTAGCACAGGTTCAAGTCCCAAATGCTCCACTTCCGATCCAGCTCCCTGCTAGTGCTCCAGGGAAGGCAGTAGAAGATGGCCCATGTACTTGGGTCCTTGCCATCCATGTGAGAGACCGGATGGAGTCCCAGGCTCCTGGCTACAGCTGTGGCCATTTGGGGAGTGAACCACTAGATGGAAGATCACTCTCTCTCTCTGTCTCCTGTCACTTTGCTTTTCAAATATGTAAATAACTCTTTTTAGAAAAATAAAAGGAAAATGCTGATGCTCTGCTTGGTGAACTGGCTTCCTGTAGGAGTTCTCAGTCTTATCAGCCTCGTGCTCACTCACTAACCTGAGGTGCTGGGTCCCCGGGGGGCTGAGAGCCACCCAGCCTTCTTGGGCCATCAGGTGTCACTCACCCCTAGGCCAGGGCTTGTGTTGTTTCCTCTGCATTGGAGCCCTGTCCCACGCCTGCAACCAGCTCCCAGCGACTCTCCTGGGGTCAGCTTAGATGTTGTTTCCTTCTTGAAACCTCCCTGGCTGATTCTGGGTCAGGGACCACCCGTCTTTGTGCTGCCCGGCATCACTCTCACCTCTCAGGGACCCCTATATCCACTTCCCTCCAGGGTCCTGCTTTTCCCTTTCTTTGTGTAATCAACCATTTCCAATCCCTGTCCACTTGTCAGGATGTCAGCTCCACGAAGAAGGTGGCCCCTGCCTGGTGTGGCCCTGTTGTACTCCCAGCACAAGGCACGGCCCCCAGTACACCACAGGCATCCATCCACTGCTCACTGAAGGGCCGCACACAAAAGCGTGCATGCTTTGATTGCTTCTGTGTCGTCACACTTGGACCATGAATGGCCTCGCCTCCAACAGGACTAGCCTTGCCAGCCACAGGCAGCCTAGAGAGTGAAACACTCAGATCATCCATTATTTTTGTCTTTCATCAGTGAAAGTCGCTTTCTCCCCAGATGCACACTGCACACACAGGCACAGTCCTGGATGGAGATGGGAGGGGAGAAGGACACGCCACGGCGTGAGAATAAACCAACCTGCGTTTCTCAGGAAGCGGTTCTTGTAGTCCTTGACTACCCGTGTGATCGGGTTGTAGAAGCCATCTCCACAGTCGTAACAGCCCTTGGGGATTTTTCTAGGTGGGTCCAAGTTGGTGAGTTGCGAGATCACTTGAAAGGACACCACGAACAATTAGTTCACCTGCAAGGCTCAAGGTGAACCCATGGCTCCCAGAGGGTCCACTTGTAGGGGGTTGCTCCTGCGACCATTTGGCTCCACTGCTGGACCACACACTCCTTATTCAGGGCAAAAAAGCCAACCTAGCAGCAACAGCACCCCAGAGCAGCTTTCTGGAAATCGCCGTGCGAGCAGGGACCTGGGATGGACTCCTGTCTTTTCCTCTTCACCCCATCCTCCCCCACATCTCAGGAGGCCATGACCACGAGCCTGAGGGAGCCTGAGGCTGAGTGAGAGTCAGCCAGGTGAATGGGAGGGGAGCGGGCCCAGGAGAGGGGTGGCAATCAGAGTGTGGGCGTGAACCCTGCAGCCTCACACAGGGAACTGTGGAGCAGAGAGCAGAGAGGGAGGCCACCAGGGAAGAAAAGGGCCAGGGAGACAAGGTCAAGTGGCTGCCACTTAGTCAGTGCTTATTTTGTGCCAGGGACATTTAATGTTCCTACTATTTAATCATCGGGGCAAACCTCTGGCTTCATTTTCAGATGAGAAAACTGACCCTCAGATCAAGTTAACTTTCCCCAGGTCATCCAGCTGGGAAGCGGCTCAGCTCTAGAAGCTGTGTGCTCAGCTGCTGACATCAGGGGAGAAGAGTGCCTGGGCGAGGTCCTGGGACTAGGAATGTTGGAAGCCCCAGAGGAAGGGAAGAAGAATCTGTGCACCTTCAAGGCTGAGGCCGTGCCACCTGTGTGTGTGTGTGTCCTGGAATGTCGCAGCCTGAGTGAAGGGAGAGGCTGGAGTCAGAAGCTTCTCCAGTTCCTTCTAAGTACAGCTCCTGCTGTATTGTCTGGACAAGTAGCTGGATGCCCACTGAGCACAGCTCAGGGCTGACGCTGACCCTGACCCTGACCCTGACCCCAGGCACGGTTGGCTGATGATCACTCATTCTGTGCCAGGCACCTGATGGCCTTTGTCTCACTGCAGCCTCATGCCAACGCCATCTCACAGAAGCTCAGAGAAGTCAAGGGACACCCTTAACTGTGACCCTAATAACACCTGTCCCCTGAGGCAAAGTGCCCAGTGACACGGGGAAGAAGTGGCCCCTTGGGATACAGCTGCTCTGCTGGGGGTCCCTGCAGGGGATGAGGAGGCCAGACAGGTGCAGGGAAGATTCCTGCACTGTGTTCGACGCTGCCAGCAGCCCTGTCTTGGTGAAGCCAGCTGCCACGTGAGGGCTGAGGGCAGGAGGCGCGGGGCTCTGGCTGGAAGAGCCGGTGACAAAGTGCAGGCCCCAGTGCGAGTGACCCAGGGGAGCGTGTGGCTCTTAGGTTGCATCCAGACTGGTGGCTCTTGGACGGCAGAGTCTCCTCCCAGCTCCAGGGCCAGCCAGTGTCTGGCACAGAGCCGGTGCTCGGAAGTGTTCGCTCGTGCCGTGGCCTCATCTCCCTTATGTGCACCACTGTGATGTCGCATTATACCCAGGCTGGGCAGTGACTCTTTACTGAGTCCCTACGACATGCCAGGTCCTGGGAACACAGGTGGATGGGGAAGATAGACACGGAGCACTCCTGATCCAGCTCTGCAGGGCGGAGGTGGGGGGGGGGGAGTCGTGGCTGCACTGTGACGGGCTGAAGAGAGCCCCACCTGGTCTTGGAACTCTGGGAGAGGGAGTTCTGGGAGGAGTTGTTCGGGTGAAGTGAGAGAAGCAGAGGAGGTGGTGGGAGAACAGGTGATCTCTGTGAGGGATGGACGGAGGCCAGCCTGGTGGGGGGGACGGGGGCTGCAGCTGGGGTCTCCAGCAGAGCCAGAGGATGCGGGCAGTAGGAGGCACTGGCAGGTATGGCTAGGTGGGGAGGGATGGCGGTCAGAGCCATGCTTTTAAAAAACCGGAGTTCCTGCAGAAGGGAGACTGACCCATTGCAGGTCGTGGGTGGAGCTTTCAGGAGGGCGGGTGCCGGCGGCAGAGCCGACAAAGCCCTGGAAGAGAGGATGAAGAGGACATTGGTACACAGGTGTGCACTGAGTGAGCAAATGAAGGCACATGCTTAAGAGGTAAAATCTGTAGGGCCAAGGGACAGACTGCACTTCCGGGCAAGGGACTCTCCCCGGAGGATGGACGTGACGTTCACCGAGGCAGCCATCATGGAGGGCAGCAGGTTGGCGGGGAGGGTAATGGATTCAGTGCAGACAAGGGGAGGGGTGACCCACACAGGTGTCAGGGAAGCTGCATGCAGGTGGCTGAAGCTCAGGGATTCTGCTCTCTGCTTGGAAGCTGATGGTAGCTGAGGGCATAGGAGTGATTCAGCTTGTGCAGGGAGAGGCGTGGAATGGCCATGGGAAAGGGCCCAAGCCAGAGAGTCCTGTGGAATCCCAGCATTGGTAACTGGAGCGCTGGCTAGAGCAGGAAACGGAAGGACGGGGGACAGGAGGGAGATGTGAGGAGTACAGACAGGAGAGCAGAGGAGAGAAAAGGCAGCTCACCCGGTCAGCTAGCTGATCCCGGATCCCAGAGCCAGCGAGAAGGAGCCAGCGTCGGAGCTCAGTCTGCTTGATTTTAATGCCTGGGTGTTTTCTGCCCTGATGGAGGTCAACCCATGCAGGCCCATCCAGTTACGGGGAGGGAACGCTGGGCCTCGAACCCAGAGCTTCCGGCTCCCTGAGCTGTCAACCACACCATATTCTCTCACATCTCTCGGGCTGGCCTTGCTTTTACAGTTGAAAAACCCATCTTCCCAACTGTCACTTTGGATATGTCACCTCTGCGGGGCCCCAGACGAGGAGGTCCCCCCAAGCTTGTACAAGTCTCAGAAATGCAGGGGGGCTCCTGAGACTGCCACGGTCGGCATCCAGACTCTTTTGTCCCCATGATGGCCCTCCGGGATGGAACACGGTGTCTGCATGGAGGTAGCACCCCCGAGTGGAACATGTGGGCTCCAAGGCAGGCTCCGCCCCTGGGAAACCTGTCTGGACTGGCTGGCCTCAACTTGCTCCTCTCTGACATGGGCCAACAAGGAGGGCCTGGCAGGGACACCTGGAGACTGGAGGGGAGTCCTTACCTGGTACGCAGAGCACACAATGTTAATGTTTCCAGAGGCACCACAAAGAGCAGCTGACTTGTAACCACGCACCTACTACGCCTGCCAGTCAATCTAATCACTTTACACAGATCATGACAACCGGGGTGGGAGGGGGGCCATGATGCTGTTGTCCTCATTCTCAAGGGGGGGAAACTGAGGCACAGAGGACTGCCCTTGCCCAGGCTCCCCTGGCTAGTACAGTGGAGCTGAGAGCTGAGGACTGGCTTTTCTGGCCCAGGGCCCTGGCTCTCTGGGGTTCCACTGCACCTGCTCAGTTCTCTCTTTCGGGCTCCTTCAATAGGCCACGACCAGTTATTTAAAGCCACCTTTGGTTTCCCTCTCCATTTGGATGTGAAGGAAAGGGAGGGTGCCTGGGTACCTGCAGGCTTCAAGCCGTGGCAGATTTCGGTGTAAAACCTCCGGTCATAGCTGTCGCAGTAGTGCCAGTGCTTGCTCTCGTACTTCAGCCCATCCTCGAAGGTGTACGTGCCCTGGAAGACATGGAGCCTGCGTGAGTCTCAGGAAGAAAAGAAGGCTGCCCGCCACAGGAAGAAGAGACGGGTGTCACAGTGTGCGTGCGAGGTTTGGGGTAAGGAGCCCAAGGACTGGGCTTCTTGTAAGTATGTAGCTTGCTGTGCAAGTTCAGGCCGGTGACTACTGTCCTGGCCCTCAGCTTCCTCGTCTGTAAGACCAGGATCACGATGGTACTTCTTCACCGGGGTGAGGGAGAGGTCAATGAGATGGCACAAACACTGCATTTATCACAATACTCGAAGGTAACGGTCAATGGTCTGTCACCTTGACTGGGGTAAGGGATGCCCAGAGAGCTGCCCAAACAGTCTTTCTGGGTGTGTCTGCAACAGGATCACATTTGAATTGGTGAACCAAGTAAAAAAGACCCACTCCCACCAGCGCAGGTGGGCGGCATCCAGCCCCAGAAGGGCCTGAATAGCACAGAAAAGGCTGAGGAAGGGCTGATGGCCTCTCTCTGCGTGGGCTGCTCCACCTGACCTTGGATGTCAGCACTCCTGGCCCTGTCCTTTGCACTCTGACTGGGGCTTACGTCATCGGCTCTGCTGGTTCTCACGCCTTTCAGTGTGCATTGGGACAACCTCAGTGGTTTGCAGCGGGGGACAGTGTGCCCCTTCTCGGCTTCTATAACCTTGTGATTCAATCTCTAATAATAAATTTCTATTTTCTATCTGTCATCTATCTATTATCTATCATCTGGCTATCTGTCACCTGTCTACCTCCCTCCTATTGGTTTTCTCTAGAGACTCTGATTGACATATGGACACATACGAGCACCCAATAAATGTTACTACTCTTTTATTATTATCATAACTGGAAAGATCAGAGCCATCAGCCATGGCCCTTTGTCCAAGCACACACATTCTGCCTTTTCTGCTGCTTTTGAGCTAAAGAAAGCCTCAGGATGTAGAAATAGCATTGGCTAAGGCATCAGGAAACATGAGTGGGAATTCCAACAGTGCTATTAATTCACCGTGTGACCTTGGGCAAGTCATATCCCCTTCCTGGGGCTTACAGATGGCAAGCTGTAAAACAAAGAGTGTTGCTTAACCCTTATCAGGTCACGAATCAGGCTCCAACGCATCCTTAGTGAGACGGCAGAAGACACAGGCCATCTTCCCAGAGAAGAACACAGTCCCCCATGCATGGAAACTTGTGTATATAAATCAGGAGGGCTCACGGATGCCCTGAATTGGATTTGTGGTCCACAAATCCCAGGCTAAGAACTGTTGGGTTAATGACTTGTAATGACAGCAGCAGTGAGCTGGCAGCAATGCCAGGGGCTGACACTCACGGAGGCCTACTGTGTGCCAGGAACTTCAGCTAAGTGCTCACATGCGTGGTCGCATTTATTCTCACCACTGCCCTGTGAGGCTGTGCTGGTGGGGGTTGGCTGAATGACGGCCCTGCAGAGATGTGCGTGTCTGTGGGACCCGGGCAGCTGCTCCTCGGCATGGCGAAAGGGAGCCAGATGAAGGTTCTGGAAGCGGGGCGATGATGAAAGCAGAGGAAGGGAAGGTGGCGCGCGATGGAGGCAGGGGTGGGCGTGATGTGTGGCCACCAGCCAAGCAACACCGGCAGCTCTCAGAGCTGCAACAGGCAAGGAGAGGGACTCTCCCTGGAGCCTCCACAAGGAATGCAGCCCTGTTCGCACGTTTTAGACAACTTGAACGTTTTTTTAAAAATCTGAGAGGTGTGTGGGGGCGGGGTAGGTGGGGGAGAGAGAGTGAGCTAGTGCGACAAACTCCTGCCCACTGGTCCACTCCCCAAATGCCCGCCACAGCTGGCACTGGGCCAGGCTGAATGAAGCCAGGAGCTGGGAATTCCATCTGGGTCTCGCACTTGGGCAGTAAGGGACCCAAGCACTTGGGCCATGACCTGCTGCCCCCACATTAGCAGCTGCTGGAATGGGGAGCAGCGTGGAGACTCGGATCCAGGTACTCCAACATGGGACCTGGGCGTCCCAGCCAGCGTCCTAACCATTACACCAAATGCCCTCCAGCCCCCAGTTTAAACTTTGGATCCCCAGAACTGTAGGACAAGAAGTCTGTGCTTCTCTCAGATTCTCACTGTGTGTGGTGATTTGGTACAGTCATGGCAGGTAACCCATAAGGTGGTTGTCCTCAGAGTACAGATTAGGAACGTGAGTGTCACAGGGGTCCAACAAGTGTCAGGATTCACACTCCCCTGGGGCCCTTCCGGATCTAGAAGATTCTGGAGCCCTGGGAGATCAGGAAGCAAGAAGAGGAGGGGATGGAGGGAGGTGGACGCCACCCAGGGAGGGTCCTGCCTGGGGGGCCTCCCCCTGGAATGCCCCACCCCGCGCCGCCAATCACCTCCACGACCAAGCCCTTCTCCCAGACGGCGTCATATCGGCTCCCGCTGGGGAAGAACAGGGTTCCTTTGCCGTGAAACATGCCGTCCTTCATCTCCCCGACGTATCTCGTTTCGGTGGGGAGGATGTACTCGGCATTGCCCTCCATCCTGCAAGCACACAGGGAAACCAGTGAGCCCCGGGGCACCACGGGAGGATCAGGGAGGGCAGACGACGGGGAGCTGGCGGGGAGCTCGGCCTCAGAGTTTACCGTCTCAGCCACCTTCTGGACAAAACCAGCGCTTTTGCTTACCTTCTGCCCAAAGATTCAGAAGCCAGAGGGGCTGCACTGCTCAGGAGAGTACAGAGTCTGGTCTGTCTCTCTGGCCCTCCCCCAGAGGTTCTCTTGGAGCTCATGCTGCCCCCTGAAATACCCACCTTGGTGAGCCCAGAGAGGGTAAGCATGTGTCCAAAGCCACACAGCAAAAACTGCAGCAGGGATCCAGGTTCCCCATTGTACTACAGGTGGGATGTATGGAAAAGTAGAAATTTAGAGATAGGAGATATGAATTTGAAGCTTATGCCACCATATTCTAGATACATCACTTTGGAGACCTTGTTAACCTCTCTGTCCGTCTCTCTTCTCCCCTCCCTTCCTTCTGTTCTACACTTATTTACAGGGCCTGTCCTGTGTGCCAGGTACTGTGCTGAGAGGCACAACACAGGTACAACAGCTGCCGTCTGAGCAAGCACAGCCCCTGTCTTGGGGGGGGGGCTGGTCTAGCTGGGGGCGTGTGGCAAGTGTCCCGTTCAGGCAGGACAGGCCTGTCCAGGAGCACCGGGCAGCAACACTGGCTGGGCCAGGTGACCAGCTCCTCCATGGGCCAAATGGTTGAGACGGATGCTGAGAGCAACCCAGCATGTCTGGGTTTTCCTAGAACAGGGCCTTGCACAGGAGAGCTTAACGAAGATGCACTTGCTTCTCCATTCCTGAAATCACCTGTCCTAACACTTGACCTTCTTCAGGCTCTGGGTGGTGCCTGGTGCAATGCTTGGGACTTTCTGTCCTGCCTTGTGATTGCCACCCTCCTCTCCTGCCTTGAACCAAAGCTAAGGTAGGTGTGTCCTCAGCCCTCAGCCCCACTTTCTTCTTGGAACAGACGCCTTGTGAACATCGGCTGGAGAAACATGAAGGAAACCCGAAGGCCAGGGGACTGGTGGAACGGAGGCCAGGGGAGAGCCGTAGTTAGAGCTCAGCTTCTGAGCCGTGCAGCCCGGAGTCTGGGCTGCCTGTCCCATCACCTCTCTAAGCCTAAATTTCTCATGCATGAAATGGGGCTCATGCCAACACCTCCCTCCAAAGTCACTGAGATAACTGAGTGAGATCATAGACATGAAGCTAGAACAGCAGGCCCAGTATTGAAAACCATTTCGCTTTATTTTACTGCAAGTCATGGAAGCAGAGGGAACACCCTCTCTCCTTCCCTTGTCCACTTTTTGCTTGAGATCACTTTTGCCACGTCTAAGCATTGTCTCCATGAAACTTTGATGAAACTCAGGCCTCTATGAAACTTTGAGCTCAAACCTCAGCCCTTTCCTTTCTGAGAACCCCACGGACATCCCCAGCTCACCCCAAACCGAACTCATCCTCCCCTCCCCACGGTACCTCTGCACTCGCCACGTCCATGGACAGGACCAGTCCTCCTGGTAGAAACTCATAGCTGGCACTGGGCAGGGGCTGCAAGCAGTCTCTGGATGGGACCAGAGCCAACCAACTGCCAAGTGCTGGCAATGGAATTCCCAGACTTCTTCCACATTTTTCTTCCTGCAGCGCTCCTAATCCTTGGCTCAGGGCCCTTCTGCCTCTTAATGAGGCGGCTGCAATGGGCTCTGATCCGATCTCCCCATCTCCTCTCTGCCTCCTTCCCTTCCATTTTTAAAATTCCTTCAAGCTGAAATATCTTCATTCTAAATTCAAAGCTAAAAAGAACAGAGAGAGACTTTATAATGAAGATGTTACTCCACAGTGAGGATAAGATAGGTATATCACATACCTACGATTTCATTCATTCATTCTCTTACTAATTTATTCAGCCAGCATTTCAGCGAGTACCGACTGCACACAGGCCCTCTGAGGAGGGACGCGGGGATGCTGCAGGTTAGGATCTATTACAGGCTGCCCCGTTCCCATGGCATCGAAATCTGTCAGCGCACAGACTGCCCTGCCCATGTCCCCTCTCGTGGCTCCTCCAGGCTGCTCTGCCAAATGCCAGCTCGGTGCCTCTGGGGAAGGTTAGCTATGCGGTTCATCGGAGCCTTGCTTTTCCCATCTGTAAAACAGGACCACAACACGCACCTCCCAGAGCTGCTGGTAAACAGGAAAGATGCCGACCCGTGCACACCCACCTCGTGCACAGTGGCTGCCACATGACTGTCGCTGGCCTCCCTGCTTCCCCCATGCTTGCTCGTCTCCCCTGCACCCGCCTGTGCTGCAGCGCCGTGGAGTTCTCGAGAACTGAGCAGTGCAGCTGTTCCTGAGAAGCCGCGCTCTGAGGGTCATGCAAATCTTACACGGATTTATTTTTTAATATCCATACATGATACTGGGACACCATGTCTCTTACTATTTCAAAAAGCATCTTTATTAAAGTATGACTGACAGACAGCAAAACACACACGTTTCAAGTGTATGATCTGGCAAGTTTTGACACACGCTGGGAAAACCGTCATCACGATCCAGTAACTTGTTGATCACCCGCCAGTCTCCACGTGCCTTCTGCAGTCTTTCCTGCTTGCCCGTACCCACAAGCCTCACTCTCGGGAAACCACGGAGCTGCTTTCTATCACCGTAGGTTAGCTGGCATTTTCTAGAACTGTATATAAATAGACTCACGCAGTAAATACTCCCATTTTTTGTCTGACTTCTTACACTCAAAGTAATTCTGAGAGTCACATCGATTGTGTTTGTATCGACAGCTCGTTCCTTTTTCATCGCTGAGTAGTATCCTGATGAACAGGTACACCACATGTGTCTGCTCATCAGCTGTTGATGGACATTTCGGTTGCTATGAGCCTTATAGATCTGTATTTGCAAGGATATATACTTTCATTTCTCTGGGGTGTCTACCTAGGAGTGGAATGGCTGTTTAACTTTTTACAATTTTCCGAAGTAGTTGTACCATTTTATATTCCCACCACAGTGGGGATTCCACATAAATGTCTTCATCCAACTGTTAAGTATCAACAGTATTAAGTATATAGAAGTTATTCTATCCATGTGAACTTTAAAAGTCCCCTCCTCAAACTAATCAAGTATATATTGAATATCTAGCATATGGGAATAACACCCACCTGTGCTACACCATGTATTTCTCGGAACAATGCTGCTGGATGTACATTGCTTTCCCATTTCACAGATGAGGAAATGGAGGCATAGATGAAGCACACGACTTTGAGCACACGTCAGTCTCATGCTTAAGCCCTTTTTCTCCTACAATAACATTGCTCTCATCCCATGCTGAAATGTGAGAGGCCCCTATACAACTGTACAAAATCAGTCCTGAAGACACGGCCACGCTGTGAAAACAACAACAACAAGCACAATTCTTGATGGCTTCTTGACCATTATGGGAAGCTGGGAAGCCCTATTCAGGTCTGGGACTTCCTGCTGTGGTTACCCCAAACTCCCAGGCAGAACACAGATTCCTAGGGCCAGAAGCACGGAAGCGGCTGACACGACACACAGGCTCCACCAAAGAGCCTCTCTCTGACCTTGCCTGCGTGCTTCTCACCTGCACACGGCCCGTCCACACCGAATGCAGGTGCTCAGGTTCTTGTACCTGACACGCTCCATCCCGCATCTCTATCTACTGGCATCCTCCCACCTTTGCTCCAGCAGGCATTTGCGGAGAGAAAGAACACGGTTTGTACACAGAAGTGGGTTCAAATTCTGACTTAATGGCTTCCCGGTTCGGTGGGCAAGTCACTTTGATTCTGTTCGCGTCAGTTCCTTTATTTGCGAGCTCGGTCTGAGCGACTTCACCAAGTTGGGAGAGGTAGGACAGAGCATGTACCTCAGCCACTTACGGAACAAGTCTCACTTTTCTTAACTTTAAAGTGGAGACAGCATCACACTTAAACATTGGGCACAGCATTGTGGTATAATGGGTTAACCCGCCACCTGCAATGCTGCCATCCCATAGGGGCACCGGATTGAGTACCGGCTGCTCCACTTCCAACCCAGGTCCCTACTAATGCGCCTGGGAAAGCAATGGGAGATAGCTCAAGTCCTTGGGTCCCTGCTACCCATGTGGGAGACCTGGAAGAAGCTCCTGGATCCCGGCTTCAGCCTGGCCCAGCCCCAGCCATTGTGGCCATTTGGGGAGTAAACCAGCAGATGTAAGGTCTGTCTCTCCCTCTCTCTTTCTGTAACACTACCTTTCAAATAGGTAAAAATAAAGCTTTGAAAAAAAGATTGATGTAAGGATTAGAGATTGTACCCCATATATACCACCACTTTCTCTAAGACTCTGATCTTTCTCACCTTTGAAAAAAAAATTCCCGGAATTCCATCAACCTGTGAATACAGGGAATGGATTCCTTCAAAACCTTGCTCTCCATCTCCACATCCTCAAAGTGCCGACAATGACACTTTGCCTCGCTCAGCCTCAGCTTACCCAGCTGTAACACAGCCTTTCCCTTCTTCATCCAGGATGCTTGGCAGGGACCAGTGGCCACCTGTGTCTCCTCTGCTCCCCACGCTGAATCGCAATGACTCACTATACGCGAAAGGACTTTTCGAGTTCACACGTAATCCTTGTTGAACTGAACAGCTGTTCTTTAAGAAGACTGTTGGCCCGTTAGGGTGATTTGCATACACAATCCTCCAATGACCCCTAGACTGTGAACTCTACGGGAAGACACCATGTGTGCTGGATTCGGGTTAGCCACAGCCCTTCTTCCCACTGTCCGTGTTGGTTTTCACAGCATTTACCACCACCTGGCTTTAGCTTCTCATTTGTTTATACGGCCCAACTAGACGGCAGGCTGCATGAGAGCAAGGATCTTGTCCCCACGTCTAAAACTGGCGGCACTTGAGGCGCGCGCGTGCGCGCGCGTGCACACACACACACACACAAACAGTACACATGGATCGTGTTCTTAAGCAAGTTTACACAAGTCCCTGGTACAAGGTCCTTTTCCAGTCTCAGAAACTCAAGACAAGGGAATCAAGTGAGGCTCTTACCTCCCATCTACATATTCCCCGATATATTTGCTTCCTATGTACTCCATGGCACCTGCTTCTGGCTTCCAGACGTTGGGCTCCGGAATCCCAGTGCTTACGATATCACTATGACAACCAGGAGCGATGGGCGGAGCCGACGCAAAGCCCCGCCCCGGGGTCGCGGCGTTCTGCTCGGCATTGCGCACGCTCCGACGCTCGCGGTTGGGCAGAGCAGCGCGCCTGCGTGCCGGTGGCTGCGCATGCGCAGTGGCTGCTGTGGCCCTCGGCGGCCCTAAAGGGGACTTCAAGGAGACGGCGGCGACGCTGCTGAGGGCTTCCCCTGAGGGTCGGGGCTGCAGCCGTCATGCCGGGGATAGTGGAACTGCCTACTCTGGAGGAGCTGAAAGTGCAGGAGGTGAGGCTCGTCCGGAAGACAGGCACGCGGGGCATAGGGTTGCCGCTTTCCGGGCCTGGGCCCAGCGCTCAGAGGTGTCGCCTCAGAGGACGCTGGGTCCCGGATCCCTCCGTCCCCGCCCCCGGTTCCCCGCACCCCAGCGCAGACTGAGGCCGGGCCGTGAGCTCCACCGCCCCAGAAGTCTGCCCGCCGCGCACCGCCGCCCCCACCGCGACCTGCGTCTCCTTCCGTGAACAGGGGTGCTTTAGCTTAAGCATCAAGCAGGACCGCTTAGCTCACCCTGTCTGCCCTTCCTCAGACCTCTCTGCCCAGGGCTCGCGGCCGAGGCGGAGAGTCCCCTTAAAGTAGTGTCACAGCCGCGGAGCGCGTTGGAGCCGAGCTGGGAGGCCCCGGGACAATGAGAGTCGTGGGGAGGGCGCTCGCCCACAGCAGTGGCTGGATGCTTGGTAAGAGGACCAGGCGCAGCCTCCCGGTAGTCAGGGCTGGGTCTGTTCGCATCCCTACTTCGTACACGTGCACTGACGTGTAACCCCTGCTCTCCTCGAGTTTATAATCTGCTAGGGAGACAGGACGCTAATAACGAACTTAACATATGCGTGTATGAGCCAGAGCCTCCCAGGCAAACTGTAACGTGGGGGTTTCTGTGTGACAGATCCGAAGCAGGCCCTGAGAGTCAGAGAGGCTGGCCAAGGTCAGCCAGCTGGTCCGTGGTGGAGCTGGAAGGGGAACCCAGGTCTGGCTTAGCAACGAGTGTGCTCTGGGCAGAAGCGCAAAGCAGCCGCAGGCTGAGCAGAACCTGGGTATGGGGGGAGCCAGGTGCCGCTCAGGGTGATCTGGTGGCTCAGGGTGATCTGGTGTCGGGTAGCAGCAGGTGCTGAGACTGGCTGCTACCTTGTGCTGAGAGAGTTTGGAGGCAGCTTCCACGAGGCCGGACCGGGCAGTTTGGCCTTTGCCCCCTGAGAGTGAGGTGAAGGGTATTTTATTTTTGTTGGCTTGCTTGTTCATTTCTTTTTAAAAATTTATTTGTTTGAAAGGCAGAGTGACAGAAATAGATCCTCCATCCGCTGGTTCACTCCCCCAACAGCTGCAAACGCCAGGACGAAGCCACGAACCTGGAACTCCATCCGTGGGCAAGGGCCCACGTCCTTGGGCCGTCTTCAGCTGCTTTTCCAGGCCTGTGAGCAGGGAGCTGGATTGGAAGCTGCGCAGCTGGACTTGAGCTGGTGCTCTGCTATGGGAGGCCGCCTTGGTAGGCCGCAGCTTAACCTCCTGTGCCAAAGCGCTGGCCCCATGGTGCAGATTTTAAGGCAGAAGAGTGTCGTGGCAGGACTGAATAGTAGAAAGAACAGGCTGTGTTAAAGGAGAAGGAGTGCAAGATAAAAAATTACGTGCCAGAAGTTACATTCCAGGCACCATGTCCGGTGTTTTACCTTCATGACCTCATTGAATCTCTATGCCTGTGAGAAGGGCATGCAGATAAAGGAATCGCTTGCCGTGTTCAGGCACTCACAGGAAAGTGACATTTACTGGAAGTTAGCAGGAGGGTGCTGCCCAGAGCCAGCCTGCCTGTCTGTTGCCCCACCATGGAACTGAGTTAATCTTGAGTTGCTGTATTTTCTGTTAGGATTTTCATTTCGCTTAGCAAACCCTGAGGTTCTACTTCATGCAAGCGTTCTCTTAGGATAAACTTGTCTTTAGGGGTCACACAGTTGAATTGAGAAAGAAGGTAATGACATAAACAGCTAAAATGTAGACAGGGTATGATTAAACACCATGGAAGAGGGGCAGATGTGGTTTAAAAAGTAGGATTGGAGGTGGGTCTAACATCTAGGTCTCGTCTAGGTCTCGTTGTCCAGTCACCTTGGTGGGGCAGTGTTAGCATTTGCAGACACAGTTATTTTATTTGTAAATGAGGTGATCCCAGCCGGTAAAGCCTCTGAGGCTATAAAGGCAACAGAGGACATACCTGTTGGGCACAGTGTAAGGTGTGGTAAGTGGCTTTTGAAGAAGCGTTTATGGGCAGAGAAGGAGAGAAGAACTTTCTAGGCGTTGGGAGGATCTGAGCAGATAAGGGGATGGGGAAATGCAGGGCCCACAAATGGATGTGGGACCAGTGAAGGAGTGTTTTAAGAGAACAGCAAGGAATTGCTTTTGGAAGTGTGGGAGGAAAAGGCTTTGAATACCCAGTAAGAAATTTAGGCTTTATTTTGCTGGTAAAGCTAAATCCTTTGATGGTTTGTTTGCTGATTGGTTTTAAGAGCAGGGTAAAAGAATTGTCATCTAGGAAGATCACTTCAGTGACTCTGAAGACTAGAAGAGAGGAAAAGAAAACAGGAGGGGCTGGCAGAGTGCTGCGGTGGGTGAAGCTGCCGCCTGCAGTGCCAGCGTCCCATGGGAGCGCACGTTCGAGTCCCGGCTGCTCCATCTGATCCAGCTCCCTGCTAATGTGCCTGGGAAGGCAGCAGCAGATGGCCTAAGTCCTTGGGCCCCTGCACCCATGTGGCAGACCCACATGGAGCTCCAGATTCCTGGCCTTGGCCTGGTCCAGCTCTGGCTGTTGCAACCATTTGGGGAGTGAACCAGTGGATGTAAGGTATCTCTCTGTGTCTCTACTTGTAACTCTGCCTTTCAAATAAATATTTTTTTAAAAAAACAAAGCAAGAGATCAGTTTTGGCAGCTGTTAAAATAATTGAGCAGAATATATATATATATATATATATTTTTTTTTTTTTTTTTTTTTTGACAGGCAGAGTTAGAGACAGAGAGAAAGGTCTTCCTTTTCCATTGGTTCAGCCCCCAGTGGCCGCTGCGGCCAGCACGCTGCGCCGATCCGAAGCCAGGAGCCAGGTGCTTCCCCTGGTCTCCCATGTGGGTGCAGAGCCCAAGGACTTGGGCTATCCTCCACTGCCCTCCCAGGCCACAGCAGAGAGCTGGATTGGAAGAGGAGCAACCGGGACAGAATCCAGCGCCCTGACCAGGACTAGAACCTGGGGTGCCGGCACCGCTGGCGGAGGATTAGCCTAGTGAGCCGCGGCGCCGGCTTTTTTTTTTTTTTTTTTTTTAAGGTTTTTTTTATTTGAGAGTTAGAGTTACAGACAGAGGGAGAACCAGAGAAAGGTCTTCCACCTGCTGGTTCACTCCTCTAAATGGCTGGAATGGCCAGAGCTGAGCCGATCCGAAGCCAAGAACCAGGAACTTTTTTTTGGGTCTCCCATGTGGGTGTAGGAACCCAAGCACTTGGGCCATCTTCTGCTTTCCCAGGCCATAAGCAAAGAGCTGGGTCAGAGGAGGAGGAGCCGGGACACAAACCAGCACACATATGAGATGCTGGCGCCATAGGCAGAGGCTTAGCCTGCTACATACACCACAGTGCCGGACCCCTCATCTTTTCTTGCCTTTTATCTTACTGCTAACCTAGCTGTGAAGAATGTATAAAAATAAAATTATGGGATATTTTCACATTAAAATTCTGAATTTTACAAATTAACTCCAGTACTGTCTTAAAGCATAAGACACCGTAATAGACTAGATTGTATTCTAGAAATCCTCTGGGTCCGTTTCAGGAAATTGTGAATGCTGTATGTTGTATTCATAGGTTCAAGGAAGAGAAGCCTGAAAATGTCAGTCTTTCCTGGTGGAGAAAGCAACAACAGTAAAGCAAAGCCAGTTCAGTTTAGAAAGGCGCCTCCCTAACAGGACCATCCTGACAGCTCCACTCCAAGTACCAGGAGCAGGTGTCTTCCCAAAGTGCTCCAAAGTGCACTAAGAGGTGAGGTTGCCGACCCTCCTTGCTGGTCGTCTGTATTGTCTTGGAGGATTTGATCAGAGCAGAAAGAGAAGAGGAAGACATAAAAATATTACTATCAGGGAGAGAAAGTGTTTTTATTTGCAAATGATAGTTTTTCCAACAATCCTTTGAGTTTTGTGTCAGAACTCACAGAAGTTCACTGAGAAGGTTAGAGTATACAGTGTACAAGCCAGCAGTAAATAGTTTGAAATGCAACAGGGGAAGAATCCTAAATCTGAGGAATAAACAAGAAATGTGCAAGGTCCCTCCGTGAAGGAAATTATAATTTTGACAGAAGGACAAGAATGACCCGAGTTTGAATAAATGGAGGGAAACACTACATTCTGAATGAGTACGTGTCAGTTCAGTATCATCGCGCCGAGAACTGCTGTTTCTCCATTGCCTGCTACCTGTGCTTGACGCTGTTTGGAGTGCTTTGGTGTATCCAGAGTAAACCTTCCATGTAATTACCGCTTAATGCAGGGCAGTTGACATCTTTACTGCATCTCTGTGGGAAACAGAATGCCTGCCCTCTTGGAGCTTCTGGTGTAGACCTCATGAGTGCAGACTGCTGCTGGCTCGCCCATGGGATGATTAGGGAAGGGTTCTCTGGGGACAGGAAATCTGAGCAGCGACCC